CTGGATTTTTCGTTTTTTTTTTTGCTGGGAAAATAAGGTTCTTCTAAACTTCTATAACAATAAAAAATCTGATGTGTCCAACACAGGATTTTCCTGTCTAATTATTATAGGCTTTTTCCGGTTATTTTGTACAACCTATTGTATCACCCCTGTAAATATTAATTGCTAACGAAAATACTGAAAAATTAAAATTGTATACCTTTTCTCAAATTTTTCCATTACAGTCCATTTTAGATAAATCATATATAGAATAATATCGCCACTTTCTTAAATTTTCCTAAAAATTATATTTTTTTTTCCTTTTTGTCAAAGTTCTTGAATACGGACCACGTTAGTAAAATTATGTATGTGACAAAAATTAGAGAATAAAATGACAATCAACTTTTATTTTAAGAATTTTTTTCTGCAAGGTAAATAACAGATATATTCCGTAATAGAAACACGACCTCCTATAAAGTACCCACTAGATGTTCCGACTATGCCCAAAATTTAATCATCTCATCGCAGACCGGAATAAAGCTTGATTTTAAAATTTGGTGCTTTTACTGTATTCGTTCATGAGTTATTAAGAAAACCGGCTCACAGACATCATCGCGAAAATAGCCAACATTTAATTTTCCTATGCTTAAGTATATCAAAAAAATAATAAAAAGTAATGATTAGCTTTTCTTTGAAAAATCGGCATTAAATCGACTGTACCTAATGAGATTTTAATGTTCTCAAATTAATTGAGACCATTTAAAAATCAATTAAATAAAACATATAAGCCCATAAAGAATATTATTAGGTACAATTTTGTTTAAAATAATTTAAATGTACCAATAACGAAAAACAATGCAGTGTTTTTCATTATTTATTGTTAAAGTTTATCTTATCAGCAACACATTGTAATTCAGTTTTCACTAAATACATATTTTAGTATCGCATAAACCATTATAATTATTTAAATGTTTGCTGCTATTTTTAAAGGTATGCGAATAAATTTAAGACATACACAATATTTTTCTCTAAAGTTTGCCATGTAAGAGTAGCTTTAGCTAAATCTCTCCTATTGTACTATCATTATTTTTTAATAAAATCGTTTATTATTATTAAATCACTCATGTTGGAGCTTACATCGATAAATTATATTCTTCTTTAAATTACATTTTTGGTTTCATTCAGAGGCGTTTGTTTCGGGCGATAAAGTCCAGATTATAAATACGTTTAGCGGGCGTAAAGTGCTCCTTTATCGCGGACTACTTTACCGCCCGCCGTTTATTAATAAACGATCATTAAAACGGCCGTACATAAAATTTTATACAGGGTGTCCCATTAGTGCGTAATTGTTCAATATTTCAATTTGTATTATAGACACGCAGAACGTTTTAATTAAAAGTTATATGGATTGGAAAAATACATGTTTAGATATACTGGGCGTTTTTGCCTGGCAAATAAAAATGTATGATTTTTAAATAGAACACCGTGTATTTTATTTTTGGCATGGTTTGGTAATATTGTATTCAACCCTAGAAAGTTTTTAAATAATATACAGTTGTTACCAAGCAATTAATTTTTTTTTTTTTTTGAAATTAGAAAATGACTGACCCCAAATTAAATTATCATAATTTAGGTAAGTTTACATTGATTTCAAAACACAGATTACAAGATACTGAGCTAAAAATAGTGGTGATAGAACTGGTTTATTTTATACAAAGTGTTTTGAAACATGTCTTAAATACGGCTAATTTTAAGTTCAATTTGATCTATAGCTATTTTATTATTAGAAATACGAAGAAATTTTTAATATAAAAGTTGTATGACCATATTTAACAATTATTCTTAAATATACAGGACGGTCCATAAACGAGGTACAGACCAAACCTATCTATACTTGTTTAAAGCAAATCACCCTGCAGATAGTCATACATATTTGATTGTTTTCACATCGTCAAACAATTTTAATTAACTTCACTCATTTGCTATGTTGTATGTAGGGTGTGTCAAAACGTGAGGTTACGATTTTCTCAATTTTCTAAATGGAATACCTGTTATTAATTAATTGGTGGTATAACATATAGGGTATTCCATTTAAAAATTGAGAAAATTGTTATATCGCATTTTGACATACCCTATATACAAGATAGCAAATAAATGAAGTCTATTAAAATTGTTTGACGATGTGAAAAATAATCAAATATGTATATCTATCTATAGGGTGTTTTGCTTTAAAAAGGTATAAGTTTGGCCAGCCCCTCACCTCGTTTATGGATCACCCTGTTTATTTAAGAATATTTATTAAACATGAATATACAAATTTTATATTATTTTTTTTGTATTTCCAATAATAAAGCAGCTATCGATCAATTACGCACTGATGTGACACCCTGTATACGTGTAATCGACTAACATCTTGCTATCGTTGGATTGGTAAATTTATAAGGAATTTTATGCTAAAATAATATATAGGGTGTTGCATTTAAAAAATTTGAGTAAATTGAACTTAAATTTAGCCATATTTAAGACATGTATACACTCTGTATAAAATAAACCAGTTCTATACCCACTATTTGTTAGCTTAATAGCTTATAAGTCTGTACCTTAAACAATTTTGAAATCAATATAAACCTACCTAAATTATAAAATATATATTATGTGTTTATAGCCCTCGCCTACCGGCTCGAGCTCTTACACGTTGCGGTCCATAAACGATGTAAATTGTTCATTCAATAAATTTTAAATAATTAGCGACATAGCTCAGTTGGAAGAGTGTTAGACTGTAAATCTAAAGGTCTCTGGTTCAATATCTGTTTTTGAAAATAAAGGGTGTCCCATCAAGAGCGCCGGATTTAAATTTGCCGCCATTTTGTTAATACGAGTTGCACTGTCAATTTTTTTTGACAGATGTCACCTACAGACCGCGCGATTTAAGAATATGGAGAAGTATTCAAATGAACAACGTTTAATTATTGTAAAAACACATTACAAAAATGGTGAAAGTTTTGCGAAAACAGTTCGCCATTTACGTCAAATTTTCGGTCGTCATGATGCGCCAAATGAATCGACAGTGAGGCGTTTAATTACAAAATTTGAGACCAAATTTACGCTGATGGATCAGAAGACCATTGTACGTCGTCGTCCTTGTCGGTCACTCGAAAATATAGCCGCAGTAAGGGAATCTGTGACCGAGAATCCGGGAACTTCCATTCGGCATCGTGGTCAAGAATTAAACATTTCCAGAGGCACTATGCAACGAATTTTGGTAAAAGATCTGCACTTGCATGCGTACAAGGTTCAATTGGTGCAAGAAATCAAGCCAAGAGACCATGCGCAACGCCGTGGATTTGCTGATTGGGTGTTGGAGCATCATCAAATTAATGCGGATTTTTCGAAGAAAATAATGTTTTCAGATGAGGCACATTTTCAACTCGACGGATATGTAAATAAACAAAACTGTCGGATTTGGGGTGCTGAAAATCCTCGTGTGATACTTGAACAACCAATGCATCCACCACGAGTAACTGTTTGGTGCGCATTTTGGGCTGGCGGAGTGATTGGGCCGTATTTCTTTGAGAATGCGGCTGGAAATGCGCTAACTGTTAATGGTGAGCGATATCGCGAGATGTTAACGGATTTTTTGTGGACCGAATTGGATGAAATTAATGTGGAGGACATGTTTTTTCAACAAGACGGTGCGACCTGCCACACAGCTCGTGAAACAATGGTGTTACTGCAGACTAAGTTTCCAGGCCGTGTCATTTCTCGTTTTGGCAATCACCATTGGCCACCAAGATCATGCGATCTAACGCCGATGGACTTTTTTCTCTGGGGCTATGTGAAGCAAAAGGTGTATGCAAATAAGCCTGAAACAGTGGAACATCTTAAAGAGGAAATACGGCACGTTATTGGTGAAATACAGCCTCATTTATGCGAAAACGTGATTCAAAATTTCACCAAAAGAATAACTCTGTGCCAGAGGTTTCGTGGTGGCCATTTGCCTGATGTTGTATTTCACGTTTAATCGTAACCATTTTTCTTTATGTTAAAATAAAAATGTTGACTTAATTCAAAACATAAATGTGTTTTTCCTTCAAATTAAATCCGGCGCTCTTGTTGGGACACCCTTTATAATAAATTTGAGAAAGGATAAAGAAAAACTAAAGTTTTGACCAGTCAATAAAAAAAATGCATACAAATATCTTAAATTTTGGAGATACTAATAAGTAGGTGGCAAGAATATAAATACAACATTACAAAATAACATTTTAAAGTAAGTTCAAACAAGAATTATGTAAAGAGACCAAATATATTTTCTTTTAAGACCGACCAGAAAATATACACTTTCTGAACAATTTTTCGTCCAGAAAATAACGTTTTGTCGATCAAGACCGGAAAGAAGACGTTAGGGACCGATAAAAGCTTCTACCAGTCCCTGTTTTTCATTTTTCCAATCGCTGTTTATTTTATTACTATAGTAACAACGTTCCGATTTATTGCCAAGGTGGATTTTTAATTTGTTGTTTGTCAAACTTGTTTTCGCAAATTTAAAAATATGGATTGAGTTTGTGAATTATTTGACATATAATATATTTGGTTAATTTATGCAATTGTATCCAAGTAAAGGAGCTATGTTCATTCAGGGCCATTCCTTATGTAAATTAACATGGGAAATCGCTAAGGTTCATTCTGGCAATTTTTACGGTGTCTAGTTTTAGTATTTGTTAGTCACTTTGTTAAATAAAATAAATAATTGAGTTTACATCGAAGTGCCAGTCTTAAAAAAAAAATATTGTACATCACGTGACCGAAAATTAGTGTTAAGCAGGTCTTTCCAAGCGTTCAGGTCTCGCCTATGGCTCGCCCTGGAATCTGCTTGTCTAGACTTGCAAAACACTATTTTCCGGTCTTGTAACGTAAATTACTATTACATAAACATACTTAAGGTGTAAGGGCCCATTTATATTTACATACGCAACCTTAGCGGGTAGAAACAAATATTTTACAGAAATTGTATGTTTCAGGATATTTTGATCGACGAGACCAACCAGAATACAATATTTTCCGACGCGTTGCCACCAATCTCAAAGATGATTGTCAATTTCACGTTGGTTTTGAAGAAGCTTCAAGGCAAATGCACCCACCCGGTCAACCGATAATTGTTTTCCGGCCGGACAAAGACCGTTCTAACGACCTAGACGAAACCTATCCAGGAAGTTTAAACAATTTCGATGAATTGCATATATGGGCGTCGGAAAAATGCGTGCCTTTAGTTAGAGAAATTACCTTTGAAAATGCGGAGGAATTGACTGAAGAGGGTTTACCGTTTTTAATCCTTTTCCACTCTCCTGATGATAAAGAAAGTATTAAGCAATATAATGATATTGTACATAATGAGCTTCTAGTTGAAAAACGTAAGTATATATAGTCATTTATTATCTTGAGAGGCTAGACTTACCTATAGAAACTTCTTTTGCGGATCAATTCTTTTTTGTACGTAATCATGCCTAAAGTTTTTTTTTTATAATTGATGCAAAACTACTATTTAATTTTGATTCATAATTATTTTTGCTAAAGGGGTACACGTATTATTTTTTCTATCTGTTTTCAGAGACCATGAATTTCCTCACAGCCGATGGTAAAAAATTCGCCCATCCCCTACATCACTTAGGCAAAAGCGAAAAAGATCTACCTCTCATAGCTATCGATAGTTTCCGACATATGTACCTGTTTCCCGATTACAAAGATATTCATGTACCTGGAAAATTGAGATCGTTCATAAAGGACCTACATTCTGGAAAATTGCACAGAGAGTTTCATTACGGTCCTGAAACCGATTCTGATACGGAAAAACAAGATCAAACGACACCTCCTGATAGTACTTTCAAAAAATTAGCTCCATCCAAAAATAGATATACACTGCTTGACAAAGATGAACTGTAGATAATTATTATTTTAATGAATTTTTGTTTTTTATTTCTAGTGTTTTTTTTTTTGTATTAATTTTGGTCTAATCGTATTGGTGAAAAAAAATATACAAAAAGTGGCTCGTGCTGACACATATTGTGATTATCTCGTCTAGACAGAACCGTATTCATACATTTTTTTTAAATGATCTTTGTGATTTTTTATAATTATTTTATATATTAATACAAACAGTTTGAAAAATTAAAAAATTGTTTACCTTTTATTAATTTAGGAAGAACAAAATCTTGTATCGTGTATCCCACGTGACTAAATTGATGTCATCAGTTTGCTAAATCTAACATTAATAACTTCAGTAGTAACCTTACAATAATTTTACTGGCCTATATGGCAGAACTGTTACTTAAGTTGTCATAAAAGTCACTAAGAATTACGACTATTTTCATTTAATTTATTGTTTTACCAGATTATGTATACATTAATTGGGTATTCACCACGGTTCGTAGACAAATCAGTGGCCTCTTCATCCGTTGCTAAGGAAGACTGTGACGTCATGGAAAATATTCTGTTACGGTTTGTACATTATTTTTTTAAAAAATCTAATATTTAGTGGTGTTTATATTTTTATTTATGGATTATATACCTGCGTTGGAGTTTTTATAAAATCGGTAATTTGATTTTTTGAAAGACAAGCCACAAAACGGAATGGACAAATCGTGTAATGATTTCCATTACATTTCAAATGAATTACTTTTTATTTGAATTATAAAGAGAAATATTGTGTGAATGGTTTATTTTGGATTAGTGTACGGCCTCCTTGCTAAATTCGGATCACACTTTGATTATATTCCGAAATATTTTGAAATTTTGACAAGCCTGGAGCGGGCCGTAGTTTTAGTGTTGGCAAACAATTTTTTCTGTTTACACACAAAAATCGTTAGAATAAATAAACTGAAATTAAGACTAATGGTAAGATTTTACAGAAATGATTCTGCAAATATCATTCACCATTTTTAAATTAATTGCAGTTTTGTCCAACCTACATTTAAAAGCAACGAGATGGTTTCTTACAAACATTAAAAACAACCAAGATCAAAAAGTTAAAGGGCTTTACTAAAAGAACATATATTTTTGAAAAAAGGATTTTGCTACAGAAAGTTTTTAGTAAAAAGTACATAGTTACAAATCATTTTAAAGAAGAAAACAAGAGCCTCTTAGAGTTGAGAAGAAGTTTGTAAAGCATTCACGAGAAGATATTTGAGTTAGAGGTGCTATGTAAACCATACATGCTAACAGTAGTTGATGACTTCTCTAGGTTTCCCTTTGTTTTTCCATGTATCAGCACGGCTTCATCTGAAGTAATCAATCATTTGGGAGAATTATATTCTTCATCTTCGGTACTCCCTCCTATATCCACTCTGACAATGGTACATCTCTTATTTATCATGAACTCAAATCATACTTAGATGCTCAAGGTATTGTCACTAGTAGATCTCAAGGGCGGATCCAAGACGAGTTTTCGGGGGGGGGGGGGGGGGCATTGCCTTTAGCCATTCCTTTTTTAGCAACCCCCCTCCCTGGAGCCGCCCTTGGTAGATCTACTCTTTACAATCCTCAAGGCAATGGACAAGTGGAACGGTATAACGGCATCATCTGGAAAACCATTAACCTTGTACTCTGGTCAAATGGACTGAAATTGAGCTAATGGGAGAGAGTACTATCAGAAGCGCTTCATTCGATTCACTCATTACTATGCACTGCCACCAATGCAACTCCTCATGAGAGAATGTTCAACCACCCCCGCCGTTCTTACAATGGAGTATCCCTATCCCTACATGGTTAACATCACCTGGACCTGTTCTACTTCGTAGATTTAATAATTGTGACTCACCAGATTAATCCTGAGTCGAGAAGATCAATGCGATTAAGAAAAGCCCTGACTTTTCTAGATGATTATGTAAGATTTTAAAGGTAGGAAGAATGTAGTGATAATCAGTGAATGTACTTACATACTTAGTGAATTAGTTACTTGGTTATTGTATGTCAAATTGTTATATTTATTTTATTATGAATGTCGCTTTTTGTTTATTAAAACCTTAAACAAATATTTCGTATTTTATTACAAAAATATTCAAAAGTATCCCTTGCTGGGGATTTCAACTTTACAAAAGTGCATTGCTAAAATAAATCTGAGATATAGTCTTGGATGATTTATTTAAGTACGCCAAGTATATGTAATATCTCCTCTGTGTATTATATGTATATAAACACAATAGATAAAACTATTTTTCTCTAATTTGGAACCTATATTTATAGATTATTGTAATAGAACTGGGTTGTTGTTGTTTCATTGTTTTTTTTTAAGTATATTATACTGTTCATACATCCTAGAAACTGACAAAATAGTCCAATCATTATAGTAAGTTCACCTCGGAATTCGAGATACCCAGCTGTAAGTCTGTAAATACTTGTATATTGACACCCTAAAAGTTGTCTCAAAACCTACATATAGTAGGGTGTACGCATCTATTAAATTTCAAGGCCAAAGGTCACAAAAATCGGTTTTTTGCGCTTTTTTTGTAAATATCTCATTTCCTATGGGTTTTTTGCTATTTGTATTTATTATCAATATTGTAGAATACAAAATTCTCTAAAAATTTTGTTTAAAAAAATTTTTCATACGGTGAACCGTTTCAAGATAGATGACGGAGAGCGCGCGGTCACAGCATCACTTCAGGTCAACCGGTGCCTCCGGTCGAAAACGCGCTATATATAGTTGATGAAATATCGATAAATCAATGATTATAAATATTTGTCAATTTTTATTAACTATTATATTATATTTTATCATTTTTTTTCCTAACCTATCCACTTTTTATTTAGTATTAATTTATTTAACAACACTTACCTGCCCATGTAATTGCAAAATTGTTAATGAAAATATAGGAATTATATTTGAATTTTAACCTAATTAATATTAATAAATTCTTACATGATGAAAAAAAAAAACAAATAAATTATGAATTAATCTTTTTATTAAAAAATTTCATTCAATACATTTATTTTTATTAAAAGTAAAAAATGGAATAAAAGGTACAAAAACTACAATTTATAATTTTAATAATCTTCTTCCTCTTCATCGTCGTCTTCCGGCTGCTGGTAAATTTCAAACTGGTCTTCATTATCGTCTTCAACGACATTTCTCTCAAGTTCTTCCATGATTTCGGGGTCAAAGGTTCCATCTTCGTTAATGTCGCTCTGATATGGTAGAGCATTGAAACAAGCTTGCCCATTACATTGGCCACAAGCTAAAGAGCATTGCAAGCCCGCTTTCCTGCATCAGCATCGCGAACCACAACCACTCTTGCAGTTGCAGAAAATTGTATTTAGCAAATATTCTGGAGCAGGTGGTAAAATTGTCATGATAGGCTCCACAAAATCGTTTCGCATTGCCCAACTCCATACCTGGGGTTCCAAATCATGCCTTAACCAAGTTTGAACTTAATAATATACACGTTTGAAAGGTTGATGAGCAGCTGCTTTTGTTGGTGGAATATTTGAAAACTGCACAGGTTAATTAAGTTTTGTAGACTTGACGTAATGCATATAACGAAGATGATCGAGACTTTTCACAGATTTCGGAGCATTATAGACTTCCAATAAGATTTGAGTTCCACTCTCTAATAATCTCTGGGCCGAACAATTTTCTTTCTCAAATGCTGCAGCTAGTTCATTCAAATTTGTCAGTTTCTCAAAAACTTTAAAAAATTATTTTTTCCCTTTTTAAAAAGCGCAGAAGTTGTGTCACAGCCACTTAATGCGTGCAGAAATAAAATATGTGTTTTGGAATGAGGATAATTATCAAAACTTTTAGTCAAGTATATCCCCGTTTTTACATTTCCTTTCCCAACTTTTTTAAAGAAAATGTCTTGTTCGTAAGACAGTGTACGCCCAATTAAAATGACAAGTAAATCAATATCTTGTCCTATTATAACTGCAGTTTTTTCAGAATTTGATTCTTCAATTGCAGTTTCAACAATAAGAACATCAGCATTATCTCTGGCTTGTTTAGTAGTAATATTTGCAGCTTGTAATTTTTCAATTAACATATTAATGAGCATATCTTTGTTATTTCGATTTGATAAGAATTTTTCTTGAGTAACTGGTACAACTATTGTTTCATCTTCTCTGCTGCTCCATAGCTTTTACGTTTTTATTGTAATCTGAATTTTTTTAAACAAAATTTGTAGAGAATTTTGTATTCTACAATATTGATAATAAATACAAATAGCAAAAAACCCATAAAAAATGAGATATTTACAAAAAAGCGCAAAAAACCGATTTTTGTGACATTTGACCTTGAAATTTAATAGTTGCGTACACCCTACCATATGTAGGTTTTGAAATAACTTTTAGCGTGTCAATATACAAGTATTTACAGACTTACAGCTGGGTATCTCCACTTCCGAGATTCTTACCTAATTTAAGCTTAAATGACTGGACTAAAATATATTGTAACCTGACGAACCGGGTCCTAATTTAGTTTTACAAATATTTAAAACCTTGGCCTAAAATACGTCTAGCAGATACCCATGAATTGTCTTTTGTAGGACCGCAAAATTTCGTTTAGAGTTCAATGCAGCTGTAATGGAGGAACAAAAAAGTAAGCACAAAAATAGATTAAGAATAGTTTTATTTCAACTTATTTCTTATAGCTGGAAGTTGACAATAATGTTTGTTTAGTTTAACATAACACGTGTGGCCCTTTCCATGTCTGATTTCTAACCAAAGGGATATTAAACTCCCATGAACCGGCGAAAGTATGATGACAGTACTACAGCATATTTGTTATCCCTTTATAGTTCACAATCATACACACTGCTAATATAATATCTGCACACATATTGTCTGATATAGTGCAGTACAGCGGTATCACGAAGAGTTTGGCGAGATATGAATATGGATATAAATATGTAAATGAGAAGTTTAAAACTCCTCTTGCATCATACCTCTCCACTAATATCTCAATACCGTACTTTACGATTGTGCTCAGCACTGCATATATAGCAATATCTTGGACGACAACAGAACACCTGATATAAAGGGGGATGCCCGTTAGGC